CCATTACTCGCTGACGCACCCACGACTCAAGGTACCCACTACTCAAGGTACTCACGACTCAAGGTACCCCACGATTAAAGGTACCCACTTCCCACCAAGGTACCCCATCTTGAGGTTATCTTGAGATGATTTCGGGGCTTTTTTAGTGTCCCCGCGGCCCGGTCCTCGACCAGGCCTCCACCCCCAGAAAGCAGCCCGTGACAGCTGACTAACACCCAGGTACCTATTTTACTGCTAGGTAACAGGGGCATAGGGTGAAAGAAACTCTGCCCATTGTTTCTCGCCGGCGCCCGGAATCGAACCCGGGACCACAGGATCACAAGTCCAGTGTGCTGTCCGCTCGGCCGACCGGCTTGGTAACCTTGTTACCTTGGTAACAAGACCAGAGGCCTCCTTAATTACCATAAGGTGATATGTACCTCAGATCAAACCCTCTGAAGACAGTTAACTCAATTTATGAATACTGGAAAATTGTAAATAAATGTTTGAGAAATTGGTAAAAAAATATTGAAAATTTGGGGATAAATGATGAATAATGTTATTACAAATTTCTCATCATTTTTTGCAATGCTGATAAATTGTGAAAGTTGGATATAAATACTGGGGAAATTGGTGATAAACGCTGGCATTTATTTTGTTAAATGCTGGAAATTTTGATTACAGGATGTCTGTTGTTGAACAGATTAAATGTTTGGGAGAGAAGCAGCTCCCGAGTGTGTTGGTGGGGGGGGGGTCACCAGGGGGGGTCGAGTGTGTGTGTTGGTGGGGGGGGGTCACCAAGAGGGGGTGTGGATAGGGCAGGATGTGGGTAAGGAGGGCACTAGCCTTGGTGGGATAGGGTGTGGGCGGCAAGGACGTTTTTAAATATTTAGTAAGGAGTGGGAGGGAGGATGGGTTAGCTGACTCACTCATGTTATCTCCAGCGTTCATTGACTCACTCTCATGTTATCTCCAGCGTTCATTGACTCACTCTCACGTTATCTCCAGCGTTCATTGACTCACTCTCGTGTTATCTCCAGCATTCATTGACCCATGGAGACCTGTAGCCTATGCTGCACTATTCCTCAAAATCCTCAGATTAGGCAAAATTGTAATTAATTTTGTCAATAAAGATGTTAATAATAAATAATCTGTCACACACCATAATGTTCAACGGTTCCGGGAACCACCATAATGTTCAACGGTTCAGGGAACCACCATAATGTTCAACGGTTCAGGGAACCACCATAATGTTCAACGGTTCCGGGAACCACCATAATGTTCAACGGTTCAGGGAACCACCATAATGTTCAACGGTTCCGGGAACCACCATAATGTTCAACGGTTCAGGGAACCACCATAATGTTCAACGGTTCAGGGAACCACAACAGTGAAGTAGTAATGTCTAGGCCCGAGGCTTAGGCTACCTGAACGGACGTGTACTCACCTATTTGTGCTTGCGGGGGTTGAGCTCTGGCTCTTTGGTCCCGCCTCTCAACCGTCAATCAACTGGTGTACAGGTTCCTGAGCCTACTGGGCTCTATCATATCTACACTTGAAACTGTGTATGGAAATTTTAAATTTAAATTTTGCCCCGAGGGGCGAGTTTATTGGGCAGCGCCACTCATCTTGTGAGTGGACACACCGCCATAGCAGCATGTACAACACTCCCCAATAGGAAGAAAACCCGCTGTCAGCCTCCACCACATCACTTCCTAATGCATTCCTTTTGTGTGGGGGAGGATGTGGGTAGATTCCCCGTGTACAGTGACATGGTGTCACTATGTCACTGTACATGTACACACCACGTACAGTGAAGTGTACGTGGTGTGTACAGTGTTCCAGCAGCTGGCCGACTATCATGGGCCATCTGCTGTGGTCAGCGGGGGGTGAAAGAAGCTGAAAGGAAGGAATTTTCAGGGGGAAAGCGCCAAGCCATTACGGCTATATAGCACTAGGAAGGGGGTCAGGATGAGGATTTGGGATGAGACGGGGGGAAGGAATGGTGCCCAACCCTGAAAGAAGCTGAGGAACTATGCTTGATGAGTGGCCCTTTTCTGTACTGATTGGTCGTCGGCCGTAAACAAACGAACTATGCTCAGTAAGTGGCTATCGTGTTATTTTTTGATTCGGAAGAATGGCCAAGGTTGGATGGAGACCAGACGCTTGCGGCCAGTCTCACTCAATTTTGTAAGGTGAATGGTCTTGGGCACGGGACGAACATAGGCTTGTTAGGGGGTTAGTCCTATTTTAAGAGATCGGGCATAATAGTGCCTCCCCCCCCCCCCTCCCTGAGATTACCCCTGCTAATCTCGGGGGTAATTTCACCTGTAATCTTAATTGGGTTGTAAATCAGCGCTGTTTGGTAACTGCTTCAGTGATCCGCTTGACTCTTGATGCCTCCTGAGGTAGGTAAGCACACTATAGAGAGGATTAAGTATTTAATTTACGAACATGGGGCCAGATTCACGAAGCAGTTACGCAAGCACTTACGAACCTTTCCATCTTTTCTCAATCTTTGGCGGCTTTGTTAACAATTATTAAACAGTTAATGAGCTCCGAAGCACCAGGAGGCTGTTTATAACAATAACAACAGTTGATTGGCAAGTTTTTCATGCTTGTAAACTGTTTAATAAATGTAACCAAAGCCGTCAAAGATTGAGGAAAGATGTACACGTTCGTAAGTACCTGCGTAACTGCTTCGTGAATCTGGCCCCATGATTACTGAAATTATTAAAGGTAAGGCAATTATCGGGAGAAAGCGCTAAAGCCGTCACGACAATTTAGCACTTGGAAGGGATGAGGGAGATAAGGATTTGGGATAAGACGAAGGGAAAGAATGGTGCCCAATCACTTGGCCGCGTTGGGATTGACACCGACCGGTAAGAAGCCAGATAGTCATTCTACCCTTCAATCGAAGTGGTTGGCCATATTGGAGTAAATAGATCTTTGCTTCCTATTAGACCATTAAGTCTTGATGATCGGGACGCGCCTTACTGGTTAGAAATCTTATCAGAGTCGCCGCTAGAAACAGGCCTCGTGATAAGAGTTATATTACGCTTAATAATTGACCTTAGCGTGATAAGTAAACACCCCCCCCCCCGATCATTGTTTATCATCGTAGAAACTGCGCTTAACGATTGGTCAGTGTTCCGTGACGTATTTGTCGAGGGAGCCGGTCGGCCGAGCGGACAGCACGCTGGGCTTGTGATCCTGTGGTCCTGGGTTCGATCCCAGGCGCCGGCGAGAAACAATGGGCAGAGTTTCACCCTATGCCCCTGTTACCTAGCAGTAAAATAGGTACCTGGGAGTTAGTCAGCTGTCACGGGCTGCTTCCTGGGGGTGGAGGCCTGGTCGAGGACCGGGCCGCGGGGACACTAAAGCCCCGAAATCATCTCAAGATAACCTCAAGAAACATCTCAAGATAACTATGATGCTTGTTAAGGGCACGGGAGACATCTCCCGTCACGCAGGGTGCAGTCGCACCTCCACAGATCTCCAGTATCATCTATTGATACTGGTAATGGCTCAAAAGGGCCACCACTTACGGGCTATTCATGCCCGTGCCACCTTTTGGATGGCTTAATCTTCATCAATCAATCTTGTTAAGGGGGCCACACACTTCTCACAGCTACGCTATTTTTTAGTTGAAATATCAGGTTATCTTGAGGTTATCTTGAGATGATTTCGGGGCTTTTAGTGTCCCCGCGGCCCGGTCCTCGACCAGGCCTCCACGCCCAGGAAGCAGCCCGTGACAGCTGACTAACACCCAGGCACCTATTTTACTGCTAGGTAACAGTAACAATAGGGTGAAAGAAACTCTGCCCATTGTTTCTCGCCGGCGCCTGGGATCGAACCCAGGACCACAGGATCACAAGCCCCGCGTGCAGTCCGCTCGGCCGACCGGTATTTGTGATATCATTGGACATTATTGGTACTGAGTCCATACCATGAGAGCCGTAGACACAGGTACACGCTAGGCCCAGACACGGCCGGGTGAGAAGTAGGTGTCCACGGTCGAGATGCCAGAAACAATAGTCTGGTTAATGTGTCATTTGTGGCCTCGTCTCGCTACCGAAGAGGGATTATAAGCGCTTGTCGTTTCCGCCCCCCCCCCCTCTCTCTACCACCTCCTCTCTGCCTCCCCTCCTTTCTCTTCCTCTCCTTCTCCCCTATCTCTCATCCTGTCCTCCTCTCTACTTTCCATTCTCTCTTATCTCCCTTTCTTTCTCCCACCTCTACATCCCCCCATTCTATTTTTCCCCTCTCTCTCCAGCTCCCCTTTGTTCAGTCTTCCATCCCTTGTATCCAAGTGTAATAAGGGAATGGAAGGGGGGGGGGGGGAGTTTATGATCGTACAGGTTGTTCAATCAACAAGACAATTCGTACACAGATACATACCATTTCCTCCTCCCTCCCTGATAGACGTTCCTGGGATTTTTGGTACTTTTTGGAGGTAATTCATTTTGTCTTTTGTACGTCCGTAAGAGGAGGACGAGCTGCGATTGGCCGTGGAACACGTCAGACGCCGACATGGCGTACAGCTGCCGACGTGACGTACAGCTGCCGACGTGGCGTACAGCTGCCGACGTGGCGTACAGCTGCCGGCGTGGGTGATTGTGGTTCAAGGTGAATTAGCAGGCGAGGAGTCACAATAACGTGGCTGAAGTATGTTGACCAGACCACACACTAGAAAGTGAAGGGACGACGACGACAACGTTTCGGTCCGTCCTGGACTCATTCTCAAGGCGATTTACAGGTGAATGGTTCGTGGATAGCGGCTGTTGATTGGTCGCTTGGTTCCACCACTCACAAAGAGTTCATTGCTCATCAAGGCTAGTGTGTAATTAAGCTGTTTATGACCCCGTGTCTCTTATCATCATGGAAGACTTGGTCATGTTAAGTCACTGTAACCTCCGTCCCTTTCCCACCACTATCCTCTGCTCCTATCCATCCCCCCCCATCCTCCACGAATCATCCCTCTTAAAGTATTGTGACTCATACTTTTTCCTCCCTTGCAGGTGGAGGTGTGAGGGAGGAACCTCTACAGGACACAAGAGGAAGATCCACCTCTATAACCCACCGCTAGAGGGCACAAAGTGGCGTGGCACCCGGCTGACTAGTGCGAGGCACAAACGGCTCCTCCACCGCCCTATTGTATTAATAGCCGCATCAGGTGACCTAAGATTATCACACACACACTTTACACAACGGTACAACGGGTCGTTTGAAGGGAGGGAGGAACCGCGATGGGGGTGCAATGCTAATTGGTCCCTTCCTTCCGTTCTGCCACAGCATGAGTAGTTAATTTGTTATACTCAAATTGGGCACTGTCAGAAGAAAGCGTCAAGCTATTACGACTATGTAGTGACGTACAAGAAGGAAAGTAACAGGGAGCATATGGTAACTGAGCAGAGAGAGAGAGAGGGAGAGAGAGAGAGAGAGAGAGCTTTGACCTTTGACCTTTGACCTCAGCGTGGGTTTCCTCACTGCGTTCTGTTGAGTGAGGTCAGGAGACGTCTCCTCTCGTGCCGGGAAGGTCACGGTGGTGGTGTGTGACCCAACTGTGATTAACTGTGACAATTTTTTGGGGGTCCGGAGAAGTAGTGTTGATTCGGTATAATAACCTGTTCTAAGTACCAGATAGAATATCAGTTACTGCTATTGAAAGTGTCGCTGGTGTAAAAGACTGACATATTCAGGAAGTGTGGGCTAGTGTAGGAAACGACGATATCTTGTAGTGTAACTGGTGTTATCGTACCAAGATAAGTGTATCAATCAACGCTACAGAAAGTAAATAAAAGCCAGTTTGGTGGAGCCCTGTATCAGGTGATCAGAAAGTGAAATGATTCGTACAAAGATATCTCGCGGCTAGGAAGATTGGCAGTGTGAGTAGATAGAGTAATTAGTGAGCTGGACCCGTCCAGTGAGTGATGGATGAGTGAGCTTACTGTGGAAGTGAGGTGTGACTGTGGGCTCTATATAGTCTGGTGCTGTCACACCCCTACCTGAAGTGGTAGGACACTTCGACCCCCTACCTGAAGCATCGTATTGTGTTCAATATCGTTTCAAGACGCTAAAATCCTACCCGGTACCTCGTTCTTTCAATGCCATAGCTCAGAAGACCAGCATCCCTTACCCCCCTCTCTCTCTCAAGACGCCAGCATCCACCTCATCAAGACGCCAGCATCCACCTCATCAAGACGCCAGCATCCACCTCATCAAGACGCCAGCATCCACACCCCTTAAGACGCCAGCATCCACACCCCCCTCACGACGCTCCAGCATCCACCCCGCTATCTCCCTCTCACGGAGCCAACCTGGCACTCCCATGTAACAGTAACGCCCACTACCTCCACGCCTCTGTACGGCCAGTCCTTCTCCCACGTTCACCAGCTGCACGAATCTGCGCCCCCGCCCCCTTCCCATGCCCAGGTACGTATACTCCCTGCCATCTGATGCATTACGGAGCATTCATGCCCGTGCCGCCTCTTGGGTATCTTAATCTTTATCAATCAATCATCTGATATATCCACATAACGGGTTAATAGTCTTAATGGGATGAATCAAATGGGGAAATCTTTCTAGAGTGTCAAAAGGTGAGGTCATTCACCCCGTGAGTTGATAATTGGGGGAAGACAGAGCTAACGGAAGAAAGGTGAAAAGGTGAGAAAGGAAAAAAGTGAAACGGGGGCAGAGAAAAAAAAGGAAAAGGGTTAGAGGAGGGCGATATGGAAAGGGAAGTTGGTGGTGGTGTTATTAGTGTGTGTGTGTGTTTCAAGCGTAGGATAGACATGTATATATGCGTGAGTTTGGGCGGATATAAATAGGAGTTGCCTTTTTAGGCTCTCGGGAGGTAGTTATTTGAAGAAAGTGCTATGCAACTAGGATTATATAGCACTTTGAAAGGCTATGAGCTCAGACTAGGAGCTGGGATATGAGAATGAATTAGGAGCTGGGCCCATTGAAGCCAGTTTTAATCGGTAGTAAATTCTCCAAAACAAAACACACACACACACACACACTCACACACACACACACACACACACACACACACACACACACACACACACACGCACGCACGCCACCAGTTGATTTACAGTTGAGAGGCGGGACCAAAGAGACAAAGCTCAACCCCTGCAAGCACAAATAGGTGAGTATCGGTGGGTATACACACACACACACATAGGGCGCTTTACACTGCCTACGTGAGACCAGTCTTAGAGTATGCCGCCCCATCATGGAGCCCCCCACCTGAAGAAACACATAAAGAAACTGGAAAAGATTCAGAAGTTTGCGACGAGGCTTGTCCCAGAGTTACGAGGGATGGGGTATGAAGAGCGCCTGAAGGAACTGAACCTTACGACACTAGAAAAAAAAGAGGGAAGAGGGGGGATATGATAGGAACGTATAAAATACTCAGGGGAATTGAAAAAATGGAAATAGATGAAATGTTCACACGTAATATTAACAGAACGAGGGGACATGGGTGGAAGCAGGAAACTCAGATGATTCACAAAGATATTAGGAAGTTTTCTTTTAGCGTGAGAGTAGTGGGAAAATGGAATGCACTTGAGGAGGTTGTAGAAGCAAACCCTCTTCATAATTTTAAAACTAGACATGATAGGAAAATGTGACAGGAGTCATTGCTGTAAACAACCGATGGCTAGAAAGGCGGGATCCAAGAGAACCCGCCCATCTCCCAGAACCCCATCACGCTTGAGAACCAGACGAGTCAGAGACATATTAGAGACATATTAGAAAGTTTTATCGTGGGAAAATAGAAGCGAACTCCATTCATAATTTCAAAAGTAGATATGGTACAGGAATAAGGCAGGAGTCATCGCATTTAGACAACCATGAAGCGGCTTGGAGGCGGGGTCCAAGAGCTAAACACTCATTCCTGCAGTCTCACGTGTTTGTCTTATGTCTTTTGTTTTCCCTCTGGGCTCTGTGTTCGGTTCTGTATATTTGTGGACATATATTCACTTTAGGCTATTTGCTCCTTGTTGCTGAAATTATTTGTGTGTTTCTGAATACTCGATTTTGTATATTGAATTTTGTTTGCTTCCATATATTCGATTCTGTATATACGCCTATATGTTCCTATAGTTGCTATGTGTATTCGCCTTGTACCATGTATACGGATATTCGCTTGTGTATATCCTCTTCATTCTTTCTGTATATTCGCTTATGCATATTATTTCCTATATATCTTAGCTTGCGGATATTCACATCTGACTATATACCTGTTTGCCCTACATGTGTAAAGTCTGGGGGCCGGACACACACACCTTTCTCTTGGTGGAAGGATTGAAATATATTGTTGAGTCCACCAGCTAAGAGGAGAAAACGGGAATCTATCTCAGCATTGATGGTGTTAGACGCAGGATTGATGGTGTTAGACGCAGGATTGATGGTGTTAGACACACCATTGATGGTGTTAGACGCACTCTCTCTCTCTCTCTCTCTCTCTCTCTCTCTCTCTCTCTCTCTCTCTCTCTCTCTCTCTCTCTCTCTCTCTCTCTCTCTCTCTCTCTCTCTCTCTCTCTGTTGACATACTCCCCTCCCCCCCACCTGCCCCCGACTGGTGTTGCCGGGGTTATGTAGGAAATAAACAAGACTTAGTGAGGTATGGCGTAGCCAATATTGAAGCAGCTGGTAACTTGGCTGGCCGATCATTAGCGATGGAAGTGAGAGAGAGAGAGAGAGAGAGAGAGAGAGAGAGAGAGAGAGAGAGAGAGAGAGAGAGAGAGAGAGAGAGAGAGAGAAACACAGAAAGATAGAGAGAAGAGAGAGATGTACAATAGAAACAGAAGATTTGAGATATAAGGACAAGAGTGGGTATCTTGAAGTTATCTTGAGATGTTTTCGGGGCTTAGTGTCCCCGCGGCCCGGTCCTCGACCAGTAGTAGAGTAGACCAGTGGTAGAGAAGGAATTTGTTGATAACAGGTGTGTGTGTGTGTGTGCAGTTTACAGGTGTGTGCAGTTTACAAGTGAGTCATGATGTGGGGGTATTAAGGGGTGGGGGGTGGTGGGGCTACTCATGTGTTGAGGTGGGGGGTGGGGTGGGGTGGGGAAGGGGGAGGTTCTCAGGTGTTTAATCTCTACTTTGGATATATTCCGTCATCATAGGCATCCATTTTCTCTCTAATTATTCCGCTTCTTCCTCCTCCTCCTCCTCCTTCTACAGGTCTATTCATTACGTGTATATGTATATTTATGTATTGCATATGTGTGTGTACTCACCAAATTGTACTCACCTAATTGTGCTTGCGGAGGTTGAGCTTTGGCTCTTTGGTCGCGCCTCTCAACTGTCAATCAACAGGTGTACAGATGGGCTCTATCATATCTACATTTGAAACTGTGTATGGAGTCAGCCTCCACCACATCACTTCCTAGTGCATTCCATTTATTAACTACTCTGACAAGTGTGTGTGTGTGTGTGTGTGTGTGTGTGTGTGTGTGTGTGTGTGTGTGTGTAATTCTGACATATTTAGGTTATGTATGATCGTCATCTATGCTTGTATATTTGGCCATGAAGTATGTTTATTAACGTTATGAACAAGACTATTTGTGTATGATTAAGGTTTGTGTATTTGTATAATTAAGGTTTGTGTATTTGTATGATCAAGTGTGTATGAATGTAACGTGTGTATATATATGTCCATGTGTGATTGTAATGTGCGTGTCCCGACTTTTTTGTCTACTGTCGTCAGGTTCAGTTCCTTCAGGCGCTCTTCATACCCCATCCCTCGTAACTCTGGGACAAGCCTCGTCGTAAACCTCCGAACCTTTTCCAGTTTCCTTATGTGTTTCTTCAGGTGAGGGCTCCATGATGGCGCGGTATACTCTAAGACGGGTCTCACGTAGGCAGTGTAAAGCGCCCTAAATGCCTCCTTACTTAGGTTTCTGAATGATGTTCTAACTTTTGCCAGTGTTGAATACGCTGCTGTCGTTATCCTATTTATATGTTCTTCAGGAGATAGATTAGGTGTTACGTCCACGCCCAGGTCTCTTTCTCGCGTCGTCACAGGTAGGCTGTTCCCCTTCATTGTGTACTGTCCCTTTGGTTGCCTATCACCTGATCCCATTTCCATAACTTTACATTTGCTCGTGTTGAACTCCAATACCCATTTCTCTGACCATCTCTGCAACCTGTTCACGTCCTCTTG